TAAACGCATCACAATTAACATGGGACGTTACGAACGGAATGTTGAATTGTTTCGCTGCCTTTCCTCTTCGTACCCTTCTATGGCGATATCGCCATTCGAAACCGCGACGTTCAATATTGATTTTCGATTTTCGATGAATATCGATTGAACGAAGGAATGCTCACACGATAAGGTGCAAACATGACCCTTTAATCATACAACATCGACCTCACTCAAAATCGAATGGCGACCTCACTCGGAATCGAATGGCGACCAAACTCCAAACCTCTTCCATTCGCTTTCTTCTCTCGCTGCTATCAAATAAAAGGGAGATTCCTTCAACTCTTTTTGGATGGACTTTCCATAAAACCTCGGAAACTATTTCGGATGTTGAATTTATGGATGATGGAACATTCCATCGTTTGATGTATGGCGTGGAACATCCATCCACGGAACTCGACCAGAAATCCTAACCTGAAAGAGCTGCTGGAGACGGAAGCAATCCCGATCGCAGAGAATGGATCGCCCTTGCATCGGGAAGCAATAGGAAAAAATCCCGAGATGAGCTTGAAGCGGTGGCCCATTTTAGGGGGGGGGGGCAGGGGGGCAGAGGGGCAAGGGGGCAGAGCTCGGCGACCCCTTTGGAGGCAACACCCCTGAAATTATACGCCAATTTGAATTCCGGCTATCCCATTTCTTTCCATTCCTTTTCACTCGTCTCGAGCCAGGTCCGGATTCCTCTGGCGTCTCGAGCCTCCGTTTCCACATTCAGATGCAACAATTCTCTTTAGAGTTCGATTAACTTCAGACTGCAGGTCATTTTGCGAATTCTTTTTCCGTGGTTTCGAATTTCTAGAGAGCAGTATGAAAATCCAGAAGGAATAAATGCGGTGCGTAGATGATCGTATGTTCGCAGCGAATTTATCGAATGAAATTTCGAGGATGCCATCAAATCAGGTTTTTCCTGTTCAAGTTTTCGGGGAAGCGAAAGCTCCACTCTTTTTTCTTTTATCGGAATTTTTTTTTTTTAACGAGTCGGGGCGAAGAATCCCGAGAAAACGAAAGTGTAAACTAAAAAGTGTGACATCGCGGCGGCGGTCGAGCCTCGCGGAAACCGATCTGGCGACGTAGGAGCGACATTAGATTTGGCATTATAATTGGCATTAGAATTGGCATTAGATTTGGCATTAGATCGGTCAGGAAGATTTATCGTTTGCGGTGATTGGCCATGCGTCGAGTTCGCGTCACCTGCTGTGTCGCACGGATTATCAGCCGCGAACGTATCTACGTCTTTTTTTTAGCGGATGGCGTCACGTGCGGCTTTTCGCATCCGGGAATCCGCCGACTGCAAATAAAACTAGCCGATTCGACGCGTGGCTCGCGTTTCTGTTTCTGTTTCCGTTTCGTCCACGTCCACGAAGATGCTCGGATCGCTTTTCCTCTTCTCCCTTCTCCTCCTTTCCCGGACGATCTCCGGACAGAACCCGTGTCCGGATCCGGAAGAGATCACCCCCTGCACCTGCTCCTTCGACGGCGCGACGCTGGAGGTCCTGGTGGATTGCTCCGCCGTCGCCGGGGAGGATCAGATTTTCTCCGCCTTCAACAACATCAACTGGTTCACGAGGCTCACGTCTGTCACGTTTTTTTCATCGGTCTCCTCTCTCCGCTAGAATGGAAAAATTTGCAACCTTGGGACGAGAAATAGAATGGTAGGAGAAAAATGATTAATTTACGTCGCACCAAGAATAAGATTGCCCACAGTTTATCTCGAGGCAGAGGGTGTCGACCCTGCTCCACCGAACGGCTGCGGAGTATTGGCGAATGCGAATCCTTACATATTTGGAGTATGGGACTGTCCCATCCGATCTCGACCGGATCTGGTGGAAGTCACGCGAAAATTACACTTCTGCGTACCTAATAAATGAAATCCATGTCGCCAATATTATTTGAGCATTTTGAGGACGCATTCTTCGTGCCAAATGTTTCCTAACCTGCTATAATGTTAATTTCGGCAGGGAATTCCGACTCACGGACAACGCAGCAGTGCAAAACCTCCTGGAAGGAGTTTTCGGCGAGGTCACCTTCAAGCGAGTCCACGTGGACGCGACCTCCCTGGCCCTCCTCGAGCCCCTGGTCCTCCTGGGGTTCAAAGACGTCCTCGAGGAGGTCCGGGTCCTCGACAGCCGGCTGGGGAGTTTCGGATTCGTCTTGCTGACGGCGTTGAGTCATCTGGCGGTGTTGGACCTGGAAGGGAACGCCTTGACGGTGTTGCCGGTCCTTCGAAACCCCAGTCTCCAGTTTCTCAACGTCGAGATGAACCAAATCGCGACGGTCGAAGGAGGATGGTCCGTGCCCAACTTGAAGCAGCTGCAAATGGGTGGGTCGATCTTGGCTGCTTCTGTCGTTCTCATAGTACTACTAGTACTTAGTACTTCGTAGTGCTAGTACGAGCATATATCAGAATAGTACTCTGGGAAGTGCACGCACCTGGTATTTGGAGAAATGCGTTTGAAATCTCCTTCTAATGTGGTTTAGGCAGGAATCCCATCGTGGACTTCCCTTCTGGAGTGTTCGAGGGTTTGGAGAGCTTGGAGCAGTTTTCGTGTTTTTCCTGCAACCTGGGACCGACTCTTCGCGCGGGATTCTTGGCGTCCCAGAGTCCGTCCTTGGTATCCGTGGACCTCCGATTCAACGACATCGTGAATCTGGAACCAGGCGCAATCACGGGTATTTCATCCTCTTCACTTCTGCAGTCCTCCGATTTTCGGGATATCATAACGAAATAGGCTCTTTCGTGTTCTCGTCTTTGCCGGGAAGTTTTCCCTATTTAAATATGGTTCGTCGCAAATTTTCTTTTTTCTGGAGGCGCACGGTATCGTAGTGCATTTCACTGAATGCACGAATGCATCCCAGCGCGCAGTACATTAAATACAGAAAAACTACTGTCCCTCAACGGACTTAATGCGTCGATGAGTAATGTCCATGACTTGTGACGGTGCATGCTTGAGGCAAGGCTGAAACTTCATCCTGTTCGCATTTGTGGATTGCTGTCCGTTTCTAAAGTGTATATTATGTAAAGAAGGCCACCGAATTAAAGCTTTACCTGAACCTATACTGCCCTCGCTATTGAAACTCTCATCGCGCACGAACTTATATCTCCCCAGCACCCTCTGTAAATTATTCGTAAGTTAATTTGGCCACGAGCGAAAGCTGCATTGATGCCTATTGAGCCGCCGGTTTTAACGAGAATTGGGGCCCTCGTGGAAAAACGTCCGCGATAGATGGGCAGGTCCATGAAAGCATATGAACGGGAGAAATGTTTCCTCTTTGTAAAAGCAGAGAGCAAGGCGTTTTGTTTCCAGGAATCAATTTCCTCCCTGTTCCTTCTCAAAATCTGACTTCATTTTAATATTTATTCAGGGCATTTGTTCGTTGCATGAAACTTGGAAGAGATCGCACAAGTCTCTTTGAAACACATGCTTGGTGATAGTAGCACCATGATCACTCATTTGAGGACCAAACGATCTTCGGGTGTTTACTTTGGGTCTTAACAACTTGAACGATTCGGAAAGACTTCAGAGAAATTCGAGAAGAATCCAGGCCTTTAGAGCAAGGACGCCCGACGTGCGGCCCGAGGGCATCAACCAGCACTTCGCATGCTGGTTGATGCCCGCGGAAGTGCTGGTTGATGCCCTCTGTCAGCATCCACTTTGGGCATGTAGAAGCATGGAGGTTTCATCGTTGGTACGGCTCGCGACGGATTATTTACCAAATCCAAAGGCATCCAAAAGTGAAAAGGCGTATTGCNGTCAGCATCCACTTTGGGCATGTAGAAGCATGGAGGTTTCATCGTTGGTACGGCTCGCGACGGATTATTTACCAAATCCAAAGGCATCCAAAAGTGAAAAGGCGTATTGCGTGGCATAAGGGAGGGATTAGTCTGACATCCTCCAGAAATCTTTCCCAATCGTATGAGGTGTCATGCGTGACGCCGCCAAGGATTAGAAAACGATGAGAATGAATCATTAGTTAAATGGTGAGGCTGGAGTGATATTAGAGATTTACAGGATGATCCAGAAGTCACTTAACACTTTCGCTATTGTTTTATTTCTTTTTTATATTCTTGAACAGTTAAATTGTAATGCATATACATTGCAAATTCTTGTAAGTAAACCTGATCATTTCGGTCCTATGAAGTGTAATGTGAATTTTGGATCACCTTGTATATATAAATAAAGTGGCACCTGCCTACCGACTAAACCGGGGTCCCCATCGATAGACACCGTGAAGCCCATAGGCTACCGCAGTCCACACACTTCCTTTAGTTTTATTCTTCTTGGATGAAAATGATGAGGGTCGAACAGGGCCGCGCAAAACATCATCACTATCGAGGTACAAAGAATCTACAGTTCATTTCCAAGTTGAGGCTTTTGTTTTCGGAGGAGACTGAGATGAAATGGTCGATTGCGGTGGAATTGCAGGTTTGGCGGCCCACACCAATTTGGATCTGAGAAGCAACAAGATCGAGGAATTGACAGAAGAAATCTTTCGACCCATGGTGGAGGCCGTCGCAGCTGGCAGCGGATTCATCGATCTCGTCGGTCTGCCCACACTCGAAACTCGTGGGATTGCCTTCCCTTTTCCCAGATTCCCAGTAACGGCGTGTCCTTCCCGCGTTGCAGGGAATCCCGTGAAATGCGTCTGCAGCATGGCGTGGCTGGTGCTGAATCCGGACTTCCTCGCGAGCGTGGATGGGAGGTGCGACGATGGACTCGCTTTCCAGGACTTGGATCCGCTCATCTTTCAAGAATTATGTCTTTAGAAGATAACTTTGCCGTCGCGATTCCAAGGCCTTCTCAAGCATCCCCATGTAATCAACAATATACTACATTTCCGAGGCGACAATTCGAGTTAAAGACTGACGTTGAATCTCAGGATGAAGTAATGTGAAAACCGTATTTCGAAAGCTTTCCCTTTCTTCAACTCCCCCCCCCCCCCATCTATACGGAACCCACAAACGTCAGGCCTAGTTTTAACCTACGGAATAATTTCATCGTTTTTCATTCGAAAGATATCGCAATCCTTGACTACGGGACCAATTAGGCTTATCAGGGCTTTTGAGATGTCTCGCCGAGGATCAGTAACGTTAGACGCATTACGGACGAATTATTACTTTCGCGAAGCATTTCAGAGGGGACGTTTAACATTCAACCGGTTATGAGCCTGTAACGAGTTTCATGAAACATTTCAGTGAGACTGTAACTAACGTCAGGCCTATACGGATTTACTCGAGCCATCTTGACGTGATCTGAGGAAAGAGTGCCCCTGGGAATTAAATACCTGCTGGACGCTATCATCCGTAAGGATGTCCATGGGTGGTATTTCTATAACGTACCTTTCAAATGGCCGCCTCTAATCACTGTTTCAGTCTCTCCTCATTCCATGAGCTCAGCACAAGTGTGCATGATACATTAAAAGATAGAGAATCGAGACACCGATACGAAAGCGGAATTAATCATGAATTCCTCATAACTCCAGCGCGATATTCGGCAACCGTGGGGGGCGCGAGCACGATAAGCCTAAATGAACAACGATTTTTAATGGTAAAATGGTGCATTGCCAACAGCAAGAAGGGCACTTTAATGATATACCTCGTACAAGTCAATATCCTTCTTTTGGTTGGTCTCTTTCCTCAGAAACTCCCAAGGAATGGAGGGAGGCGGAGAAAGAAATAAAAACAAATGCATGAAATTCGCATAATCAGAAAGCGAGATTCATTGTTCTCCGCAACCCCGAGGAGATAGAGCTTTAAAAGTTGCTGGAGTGATTCTGTGCTGAGAGAGGAAGAAACATGCCTAATTTCGTTCTCGTAGATGCTCTCTCTGAGGAATACGAGGGTTTGAATTTTGTGACAGAAAGGGGTTGAAAAAAGGTAAAAGGCGCTATCGATGGTCTGGGTCCATCGAGAGTTAAAGAGTTTGCTCCTATGTGCCCTGCTGCTTCTCCTTCGATTCTCAAGGACTGCTCTGCTCTGTTACTGTCCTACTGTGTCTTTCAATTGAAGAAAATTCAGAAATTTTATCTAATTCAAACCGGAGTGAGGTTAGCCTTCGGCTCATCTGACGAAGGTTCAACAACACCAGCGAAAAAAGCATGGATTACCACAGAAAATGCACTTCGTCATATATTTGCGTGTCTTTTGGCGGTCGAGCATCCAATTCTTTGAATTTTGCAATTCCTTGAATGGAGCGCTGAATTTTCTACGCAGATTCCTTCTCGTCCAAGAATGGGACCTTCTCATGGGGCAAATCGACGTATCGCTTTACCTATTTTAACTAAAAACACAATATTGCAATGGGAGAATAAATTCGCCCATCATAGCGTCTGACTTCGTTGATGCCATTGAATAGACATTGACTAGGATAATATTGTCCACGGGCTCCATCCGATCGGCGCCAAAAGGCAAGAGTTATAGACGGAAGAATGGGCGATGGAATGATGGAACTGCAGTCCTGCCATCTTTCGTTTGCTCCATAAAATAAGGTTTCCGGAAGAGAAGAGTGATGGCGATCGAATCGGCCTTGTAAAGATTTCATCATTGAGTGTTGCGACTGCTCGAGGAAGATTCCACTTGAGCTTTTCGGAGATAATAAAGAAGCGTTTCTCCTCGTGAAGTTGGTATTTTCGGAAAAAAAACCTTATTGAACGATCGAATTTCCTTCCTTGGCAGATCTTTCGGGCCCATGAAGTACCATATTGAGCCTCGAGTGCTAAAAGGTCCTCATATTTGTAGTGCCAGACGAGGAGTTGAAAGAAAGGGCTTAGAAACCAATTTGGGCCGGAGTTTTTATCTGAATCCCAAAAATTGTAAGAGAATGCGAGTGGAGGAGGATGTCGCTCGCCCTCAGTTGGCACCGAGGCGGACGAGCAATCTCGAGGATAGAGTTCCGACTTACTCCCAGCTTGGGCGGTGAACATGCGCAAGTCACGAGGGTCAACAGCGGAAAAGTCGCAAATCCGTATCGTCACCTGAGCCAAAGGTCGATCGTTTCTCACCGTCTGGAAAGTGATAACCATGGACTCGCTCCAGTCGTGGTACCAATCACATGTGAGCGATTAATCTCCACAGGAATCGGAATGAACGAAAGGAAAGACCGAATCGAGACGAGATCAACTTTTTGGTTTGCTCTCCAGTCGCTATTGTACCTCGGGATAAATTTGCTGAGAAATAATAAATAGGAAGAGAAAACTGTTGAATTTCAAGCATAAATAGGTTTCCGTTTTCTTTCTGGTCTTCACTTTCTTCGGCAAGACATATATGAATTCGCGCTCTAAATCATACACACGAACGTTTATTTCGTTTCTAAGCATCTTCTGAAGGAGTATGAATGTCGAAGGCAGAGGCATTTTCGTCGATTAGACTGTCCATGAATTCCTTCTAGAGTTACTTTTAGGCAACCTTTGCATAAGTAGAAAATGTCAATTTGGTTACGAAAATATTTAAAATCAGGAATGCACAATGTTGGCCTTAATAATGGTCCCTTAAAAGCTTTATATCTCCATAAATGAAATGGGGCGAGGTAATATGAGCATAACAATATGAGTAGCCGTAGTAATATTTAGCGAGAAAGGGAGAAGCATGATGCTCATGTCTAAGCCTTGAAACCCCCAGCGAGACATAAAGAAGCCACGACACCTTCATGCATGAAGAAGAGACGAGGGGAAAGGCCCTCCTGAGTCATTTTTGTCCGCCCAACAAAGTGAGTCGCGCATGCACCAACGCCATAACCTCTAGTCACGTGTTATACGCCATATCTTATACTAGCGCTATGGTCGCGCCTTCGGCGCTCCATTACCTTGGATAGTGATTATGTCAGTCAGTCAGTCACGATCGTCTATATATATTAGACACTTAATATTTTATGACTTAGAGTGAAAATACGCCACCGCCTATAGGCAACCTGATACTTGAACGGAATTTGGGAATTTCTAAATTCCATATGAGAGCACCATTAGTACAATAAGATCACTACAGGCCATTAGTCACGCAAAATTTTACATTCCGGCGCTTCTCATATCCAACCACCAAACGAAGTTGGTGTCGGGACCTCATCGTGCTGTGATAGGGTGAGTTCGAGATCTAGCAGCTCGTATCTTCACATCAGTATAGGCTTTAAAGCAGGGGTCTCAAATTCCTTTCGGTGTGCGGGCCGCATCGTAAAGATCAGACCTCTCTGCAGGCCGAAGTGAAAAAAGTCTCAAGGTTGTCACTGATTATGTATATTGGTCCTGAAACGTTTCTTTCTAAATGTATGCAGATGGGGCCAGGGTTTGATACCCCTGCTTTAAAGAATGAAGATACATGGGAGGAATATGAAGTCATAGGAAGAGTATTGAGATTGAAAGAAAATTGGAATTGAGAGAAATGGAATTAAAAGAAAATTGAATTAGGTTCAATGACGTACACTTCCCGGTAATTCGTCTCATCTTCAGCCCCATCCTCATCGCTAGCCTATATTCACTCTCCGTCAGAGGTCAGCGAAACCAGTTCAGGGATTGAAAGCAACTACCCGTATGACGTTTCAGAACAGAAGTATGCAGTACATGAAAATGAATTGTTGTCCCCTTCAAAGTATTCCCACCTCGATGCTATGCACTTACCCCAACGCTCCTGCAATTTTTGGAAGCATTGCTTCCAAAAGGAGCTTTGGAAGTCCTGGAGTGTAAGACACTTAAGCTGTATCGTCGCATTTTCCTTGATGCTTGCAATATCTTCAAATCTTTTTCCTTTCAGGTGAAATTTAATTTTGGGGAACAGGAAAAAGTCACACAGAGCCTGGTGGCGGGGCAACGCATGAAGTTTTTTTTTCGTCAATAGCTCTCGAATGAGAGTGAGAGAGTGAGAGCAGTGTGGGCTGGAGCATTGTCGTGATGCAAAAACAACTGTCTGGCCTTGTGGGAGAAACTCATGATGCATCAGGATTATGATGCATGATCAAAAATTCGACGAAGAGCACAGAGACGACCGGATTTCAACACTCGTGATTCGGGACTGGTTAATCTTAGCGGAAAGGAGGTTTCAACATGCGTGCAATAACCCCCCCCCCCACTCCGACCTACACTAGTCCTAGTCCCCTATCAAAAGCAGTTTATTTTTTTTAGCAAGAAAGTACTAGAACTTTTTGATCAGACCACGTATGTTTTTTCACATAGGGGAATTATTGGTGCAATATTTTGCAATTCTCTTGCAGGAATGCCGTCAGATAGGCATTTTCTCATTCAGGAACATTGCAGCTCGTGGTGATGTAAGGGACTTCGTGGTCGTAAGGTGGCGCTTCACAGTCACTTCCAGCCTCATCTCATCCTGATCGCAGGTGCTGAGCCAATTCGAAAACGATGGGATTCTGGATCTTCTTGACCCTTTCCCCTCTCTTTCTCGTCTTGATGCCATGGACTTTAGGGCATTCCCTTTGTTCTGATCCCGTGGATATTTCCCCCTGCACCTGCGTGTACGACAATTTATCCCGTATCACCGTCGACTGTTCCTTGGCGTCGGTGAGTGAAATGTACTCGGTCTTCAATGATGTCGTCTATCCCAGAAGCATCTGGTGAGTCTGGTTTTTCTCCATTAGAGGAATTCCTGTTCTATCAAACCGGATTACTTTGTTGATTTCAACTCCTTTTAGTGAATATTATTTTCGCTTTTCCATGACAAAGAGATCTTTGATGCGGTCCACAGTGTAAGCATTCGTCATGAGAGTCATGCATTATCATCCCCTGATGAATAAAGAACAAAAAGCAACAAAGACCATTTTCGGCGAAACAGCAATCGACCATACGGTAGGAGAAAGAAGGTGTTGGAAAATGTTGGAAATTTCACAATGGAGATCTCAGGTATCAGATCTGAGGTCTCAGATCTCAAGTCTCAGTTCGCGGGTCTTATATCTGAGGTCTCGAGAGAAACACCGTTCTTCAATCGTCACTCCACGGTTTGGAAAATGAAAGAAACTCGTGCTCTCCAGAAAGCGAGAAAATTTTGCGTATGCACCCATTTTCAAGATCAATAAAAAAAACCAGCGATACGACTTGACTAGGTGAAAAATATTCACATTTGCTGTACGGTTTCCGCCCATTCAATTGCCAACTTCTCGTCCGTGTCCCCTTCCCTTATACGCAGAGTCGCCATACGCTCATTACGGTACTGTGAGACAGAGGGACTTCGCCAAGATGTGAA